TCTCTTATACACATCTCGGGCAGCTGCATTCTGAACTCGCTGAAGTAATTTTAAGTTTATTCAAGTATTTTCATGTTTATTCAATATTTTTCACGCTTTAGTGATTATAGCATAATAGAGGACACCAAATATTTTAGCTTAGCTAAAATATTTTGTGTCCTCTATTATCCCCGTGACAGATGGTACCCCCTGTGTATTACCTAACTATCGTTCGATTTAGAAATTATTTCAACATATATAAACACATAGAATGTTGGGTGTCCCGTGACTGATGGTACCCGCTGTGTTATACCTAATTATCGTTCGATTTTAAAAATTATTTTAACATCTATATCTTGTCATTAACATTATATCCAACATCCAAAAAAAAAATTAAAATTATATCGACACATTATTAAAAATACAAGGGGTAACATTCTTTATGGGGACACCTAGAATTTTGGGTTTCTTGAGACAGATGGTACCCCCGTGTTATACCTAATTATCATTCGATTTTAAAAATTATTTCAACATATATAACTTGTCATTAACATTATATCCAACATCCGAAAAAGAAAATTAAAATTATATAAACACATAAATAAAAATACGGGGGGGGGGGGGAAACCATCCTTCACAGGGACACCTAGAATTCTAGGTGCCCCGTGACAGATGGTACCCCCTGTGTTATACCTAATTATCCTTCGCTTTAAAAAATTATTTCGACATATATAACTTGTCATTAACATTATAACAAACTTCCAATAAAGAAAATTAAAATTATATTGACACATAAATAAAAATACAGGGGGCACCATTCTTCCCGGGGAGACCCACTAGTTTTTCTAATCAACTAATAATCAGAGACACGCATTTTGGCATTACGTCACACCTTCGCCGTTGTTGTGGCCATGGAAAATCAGTCTTAACAACTGACCAATCAGAATAGGACAAGGAAGGACGCTCCTGTCCAACAAACACGTACTGTCCATTCAAACACAGTAGGTCTAGGACCTGGCTAAGATTTGTATGCACTTAGGAGAGAATATCTCAACCGTTACAGACTTATGAACCTAGGATTTTTAACTCATTTTTCATGTCTATTTTTTGGTGTCGTCTGGTTTGTGTATTTTGGGACCCCTCTGGAAATAAATCCTGTGTTGGGATTTAGAGGGTTATCCTAGGTATCAACAATGATGACGTGCTTGTTTTTTCTTTTTTGTTTCTCTGTTTATTGTTGTTCCGATTTGTAATGTTTTTCTGTTGATATCGAATAAATCAAATCAAATAAAAAAGAACAACATGGGATGTGTGCCAAAATTTCTATCCAGGGACGAACAGCCCGAAAATGACCACACCCGTTTATAAATTACCACGCCCCCTTTTTCATTAGAAATGTCACTTTAAACAGTAGGCTGTAAATGAACATTATTGAAAACAAGGTTTTTCTTTTAGAAAAGAACACATATGATGAGGGGATCAAATTTCAGAAATCTCATCTATAAAAACAAGTCCCGTTCATATGAAAATTAGCTTTCATAACAATATAGCCATGTCCAGGTCCATCTTAGCAACAATAGGCCTATATCCTAAGGGCCGGGTCTTAGAGGAAACGTCCGGGTCGTGAACCGTTTCACTTTCATGTACAGTATTGTGCTCGCTGCCCACACTCTCTGTGTAGAAAACGGGTATTAAAAATGGCCCACATGCACACTCAATAAAAATGCAAACTAAAATTATTGAAACACAAAAACAATTCACTTTACTCAAAATGGATAGGCCTACTGTATTAATTAAGTTATACTCGTTTTTAATCGAGTAATAAAAAATATCAGCTTAACACAAAATTTATTGCAGTTAACTATGCGCTATCGCCTCGTTTAATTGTCGGTCCAACTTTTTACTTGCTTTTAGGTCCTGCATTTTTTTAGTTTAGAACGGTAGGCCTACAAAAAAGTTATATAGTGAAACATTAACCTTCTCTTTCAGGCTTCAAATACTGGTACCGTCTACAAACGCCTTTGGTCTCAGTATGGTGAGTAGTCGCTCTTCCACTATTTTTTTTTTAACTATAACATTTATATTTGGATATTTCATTCAGCCAGCATTCCCAGGCTTCTATACAATTGTTGAATAATTTTTTATTATTCATTGTTTATTCACAATAACAAGTAATATAGGCCTACTTAATGTAAGACGCACTTAATTGGCTAGTTATAACTTTGATTTTAATCTTTATTTGCTTTCTGTTATACTTCTGTAAATATTGTAAACATATATAAATGGATGAGATTTTCTCATCTTTCTCATCAGTATTCTTGAAAATGATCAAATAGATCGAAACATTGAATTCTCAAAATGTCTGTCTCTTTTCGGAATTACTGTCTTTTTCTTATATTTGGATATAATTATTTATATTTTGTATCATTATTTTACTATATACTTGTATACAGTATTTTACTCGCAGATGACGGAAAGATTAGTTTCTACGCGACTATAGGCCCCTACTTTACATGTACTATAGCACACAAACAGTGACTTTTGAGGTAGCACATGGAGGAAAGAGGGATAAATAGGCGCGTGTATGATAACAGAAATTATCAATCTGTCGCCCTCTGTTGTCTAATATCTTGAGTTGATCGTTCTTACCGTCGATAGTCCTGTCAAATAGAAGTTGAAGTAGCGGCGCTATATAATACGATCTTTGGTTGAAGCAGAAACAGATCACTAGATAGACCTAGATAGGGTCTGCTCAATACTCAGGCCAAATCCAAAAGCAACTTGAAACAATTACAAAATGTTTAGGAGTTGTTGCTATTTTTTACTTAAAGTAAGAGACAGGCTTTTGCAATTAATAATGTGTCAAAGCAAGGCGTTTTTACCTCGCTAAGTAGAGTAGGCCCAGGCTAGCCTAGGCTGGTCTTCAGACTTCAGCGCTAGGGCCTAGCTAGGGGCCTAGGCCTCAGCCTTTTGAGAGGCCTGATATCAGTGATATCGGCCTAGCCTAGGCCCTGATTGTCCTACTAAGCTGTAGAGGGCCTACCACCACACACAGGCAGACTGTAAAATACCGCCTGCAACCATCCTTGAGTTTTACCATAGTTTTTAAAACTAGAGTCTAGGTTTAAGCTAGCCTACATTAAAACATCAGTGGATACTGTTTAATTTAATTAGCATTGCATTAATTAAATGTTAAAAGTGCATAAACTAAATAAATACATATTTTAAAGAAGGATCATGTTTTAATTTGCTTTTTAGGGTACATCAAAACGAGGACTAGAGTTAAGTCGCCATGCATCAGCATCTGCAGCATTATTTCATCCTGTGGTAAGATTTGACTCATAACTTTTAAGTCGATCATAAATTCTTTAGTGTAACCATAGAGCACATATAGAAGTATGTGCCATAAGGAAGAGTAGTGAATAAGGTGCCCCCCCCCAACCCACCTTTTCTAAAAAAGCCCTTTGACCAAGTACTAGAAAAATGTAACTTTATTAAGTCAAAAATAATTTGTATAATCTACAGAACGTAAGGGGATATGTCCACTCATTTGGCCTAGCCATGGACTCAATCCTCTCACATTTAACCCTAATACTAAATCCAGGCTGCTGCCAATGTAATTATTGTCATGGCATCTAAACATCTCTTTGCACTACCTAGCCATCCCCATTCTTAAATCCTAGATCTATCACTGCATATAGCATCAGCAATGCTGTATATAGACCTGGGCAGACCCTGTGCCAACCGTTGTCAGCCGATGTGATTCTATGAAGATAGGGGTCCCAAGTTTCCCGCATTAAGGCGCAGGAGTTTTCCGGTTTATACGGCCTCCCTCACTCCCCCAAGCAAGCGAGGTCGTCCACAGCTCATTTAACCAGATCTCCCCAACTTGAGACTTCTGTGAAGTCCACATCAGATTGTGTTTTTCAATAGGGAACCAGTCAATTCAAGCAGATACCACTTTGAGCCAATGCCTGTTTAAGCGGATTCGAGCAGAATTTACTTCGAGTGGATGCTAGTTTGAGCGGAAAAAGATCCACTTGGGCGAACAAGATCCTGTGTACAAATTACAAATTTTTGAGCTAACGATTTGCATTCGGGCGAGGCTCAAACTTTGGCTGGGAGCCAGGGGAAAATCCCCTGTGGGGCCTAAGTTAATAAAAATTATGATTTATCTTATCACAGTCATTGTTATTCTTTCCACTCGCTTTAAGAAAGTGGGTTTTGAACTATAGACGAATGGTAAATAGTGGGGGAAAATTGGTATGATGTCATTACTGTACTGTTGATGGTCTTGTCACAGGAGCAGATCCATAATTTTTCAAATGGGGGGCTTTTGAATCTACAGTAGTAGTATTTTGAGAATAATGAAGTTTTTTTGTTTTTACTCAATAGAGTGAACCTGCATTGAAAGTGGAGGAAAGACGTACTGTCACAATGATTCCAGGAGATGGAGTCGGACCAGAGCTAATGCAGGCAGTGAGAGAGGTCTTCAAACACATTGGAGCACCGGTAAATTTTGAAGAGTTCCATCTCAGGTAACCAAACATTTGCTATCACTGATTATGACTAACTGCCAACTATAGTTTGGGAAAATACCATTTAGTTTCAACTCAATGAACATTTATTTGGGAAACCTTTTATAAATACAATAATGAAAATGGCCAAGGAGCACACAGAACAAGATAATTTTCTATTGGTGTATACCCCATCCACAAAAGAGCAAAATCAATATCAACAATATCAAGCAATCTGTCAATTACCAGTCAATCGACCAATCATTTAGTCAATAATCCATCAAACAGAACTGATTAGCTAATCAACAAGTCAATTAATTTAATTAATAATAAATTGGATTATGTAATTGACGACAAATCAAGTTTTCCTGTAATTAAAATCATGCTCAATCTATAATCTGAACATACATCAACAACAGACATTTTTTGAAACATATGTTAGACCTTTTTACATACTTTGTCTCAGAAACAATTCCAAATTCTACTTATGTGTAAATCTGCTGATTGCAAGTTGATCTTGCAAATGGTACATTCATTTCATTTTTCTTTCAAAGATTGTGAGAAATATGCCCATTTATATAGACAATGTCTAGGACTTTTCAAGCTCTAAATAATATATTTGATACCTTGACCATGAATTATGGCCCTCTGGTTACTATTATATTAACCATCACAGGGGTCCTGCGTCTCCCGGAAGACGCGAGACCAGGAATTGAGATGGCCTCCCACACTCCCGCAGGAAATTAAAAATCTCTTGGAACTAACCTCTCCTGCAAATTCATTAAATTTACATGTTTTAACTACTGTGTGGTATTATCATTTATCTCCTAGAAGTCAGGTAGTGATAGGCATTAAAAAACGTAACTACCATTATATTTTTGTGCATTTACGTTGTTTCACCTTGAAATGGCTGTTGGGACCCCTGATATTACATGGGGAAAGTCACGGTGGCCACTGAACCATAGAATTATGCATAGGCCAATAGTTTCAAAATACTACTAACTGAATTATCCAGATTTTTTAAAAGTTGCTATGCTTGGGCAGCACTGCAATTTGTTTTTATTTTGGACCTGTCTGAATTAATTAATACAAAATACTTCAAAATACTTATATTCGCTTATTTGTCAGTGAAGTGCAATCACATGGTGCTAGCCTGGATGAAGTCGTAGAGTCACTCAAGCGGAACCGTGTCTGCCTTAAAGGAATCATAAACACCCCGGCTGGTGGTCCAGGAGAGCTGCAAACACTTAACATGAAACTCAGGTAAATTGCTGTAAAGTATTATTAAGCTTTGTCCAGATTATCAAATATTCTGTCAAGAAACTGCTGTATGCCCATATATAGTCATGATGTGCCTATATATGGTGAAGATGTGATGTCATCATGACCATATTTAGGCATGTCACATGTTTTTATCAAATACAATTTGATAGTGTGGACTAGTATGTGGGAGGGAGGGAGGGGAGTAAGGTGCAAAAAGTAACTGTGGACATGAAATAAATAAACTAAATTGATATTAACTATTATTTTCAGACGGGAATTGGATGTTTTTGCAAATGTTGTCCGTTGCAAAACTTTACCGGGTATCAAAAACAGACACAATAATCTGGATGTGGTTGTCATCCGTGAACAAATTGAAGGGGAATACAGCGCTTTGGAACATGAGGTAATTTTTAAAGTTTCTTTCACACTAACAGTACACTCATCTGGACTGAACAATAGGGATCTTTAGATTTCACGACAACGGTAGAGCGTATAACGTACTGACCTCACTAAAAGTCATCTGCGCATGCCAGAACGTTAAGTTCTCCGCATCGCGTGAATTCAAGGACATAATTTGGCCAAATCTACATATGACTTTACGTTTTGCTGATGAATGCTTGTGGATTCCAAACATTAATTGTACAGGAACTCCGTTCCTTTTGTTATGCCCGCCTCCCTACTCACCAGCAATCTGTATACTCTGCATTTCCTTGGATTTTCTTTTTCTTTCAATTTTAATGTTTTAATCTTGCATTGACGTTTTTATTGTATGTCTCTGTGTATATATATATTTTTATGGAGGAAATAAATATAATAATAATAATAGGACGCCCGGTAGGACGGTCATGCATCAGTGGTTGCGTTGTAGCGTTGCATCGTCCATCAAATCAGAGTTATCACCATAAGACTGAAGCTTTGTCCACATACACGTTTTATATGGTTTTATGTTTTTAATAACTGTGATCTGTTTTTATCTATATAATTTATTATGTTGTATTATAACTGGCTGTTGATGTTGTGTATTTTAATGTGGCAAATAACTGATGTTTTTATTTACATAATTTATTATGTTGTATTGTTAACTGGCTGTTGTTTTTGTGTAATTTAATTTGACCAATCACAAAAAGCCTAGGAAAATAAAGCTTGATTATGAATTCTAATCATGCAGCGTGAACATCATGCTAGTTACGACATGGATTAACTAGACTGATGCGACCGGCTGCTGTCATGAACTTATTTATTCCTAGGGCTATTAAATATCATAATTTTAAAGGAGGATTAATTTTTTGTAAATTTGTATGTAATTTTAATATTTAAATGAACTTTTTCATGAAATTTTATGAAATATTTTTTTTTTATATTACGTATTTGTAACAAGCTACTTTTTAAATTTCCATGTACTGTATGAATGAATAGAGTTTTACCTTGCCTTTTCTTGTGTATATCCGGTGTTAGCTGTGCTTTGCGTATCTCCGAACATAGCCTAATCAACCATCATCCGCTGATTTGGTACGTATGTGCGGCTTTGACATAGTTTGAATGTTTGTCTCACCAGAGCGTACCGGGAGTAATAGAATGCTTGAAAGTGATTACAAGAGCAAACAGTAAACGCATTGCAAAGTTTGCATTTGATTATGCAACCAAGCATGATAGAAAGAAAGTAACAGCAGTCCACAAAGCGAACATAATGTAAGTTGAATGCGTGGAGTATTTATTTGGTAGTCTGTGACACATTCAAGGGGAGCCCAGCCACCCCTCCCCCCTCTAACGCCCGTATTCTTAAAACAAACTTTAGTCGAACTTCGAACTAGAACTTCATTTAGTGCTAGTTGCATCTTTAACTTCAATTTGTATTCACAAAAATGTAGTCGAAGTTTTAACTACGACTAAATCAAGTCCTAGTTTTAGTTCAACTGAAGACGACTGGCAAGCCACGACTATCAAACTAACCAATGAAAAGGGCTAACTTTAATAGCAGACGAAATTTTAGAGATCCGGTACCGCGGATGAATATAAAGCTGCCGTCTGTGGTTCAAAAACGTATTTCCTCATAATTCATAATAGAATAATAGACCATCATTCCCTTAATTAATTTTCTATAATAATAACTATATTAGTTGTTAACATATTACAATAGAGAATTTGAATAGACACTGAAAGTTTGCTTTCTTTGGAGAACTATTATAGTTGAGCCCGAGCGA